TTGAATGTGAATGCAAAACCAATTTAAAAAAATCAAAAAATACGAAACTAATTGTCTTGAATTAAAATAAACAAATAATATGATTCATCATTCATCTAATATAAAGGAAAAGCCTAACTAACCATCCTAATTATTAAATTATACAAGAAATAATGAAAAAATATCAGCGAGATCAAAGAAATATGGAAGAAAGTGGATTTAAATCTTGATTATGGATGGATAATCTTCAATTAACTTGTATAATTTGCCTTTGGTTGATGATTGCACCTTGTCCTTTGCCTCCAAATATACGTAAAATATGTGATTTTTAGGTGGAAGGGAGGTTATCCTTTTCTTTTGGACGAATTGTAGGTTAAAGGTTTCAAAGATATAATACCAAAACTTGTCGAAATAAGAAGAAATGAAATATTTCTCCCAGCCAAAAAGCTATGCGTATGCATGGTATAAATTGAGTGTACACATAGTAGAATAATTTTAGCTTCAATCGGCCTATAATGGAATCTCGCGTACGCATGGCTTCTAATTTTGGGGCCAACTATGCAAATTGGTCATTGAACTGTTTTTTTTAATCCTTTTCACTTATGATTTCGTTCATTTAGCTTTCAATTGCCTCCAATTGAGTTTATAGCATCTTCATTCTCCATTTTATATCCCAATGCGATTATTGGACTGTTATAATTTAGACCCTATAGTTTTAATTTCGTCATTTTTCTTTATTTTTAGATTGTTTTCTTCAATTCTTCATCAAATCATGAGTTTTACGTAATAAACAAAATATAACACAAATTAGGTTATAGGTCGTCGAAAGAATTACAAAATGTCATTATTTAAAATCCCGAATAAGTGTATAAAACACACTTATCGGCATGCCAAATCAACTGGGATTTTCATTTTAGCCATATCCGAAAGTATTGGGCCGTTGGCATTGAATTTGAAGAGAAATCCAATTTTATTTAGTTATTTTTTTTGGATCCATACAACGTTTCACCAACTGGTCAAACTACAAGAACTCTATGTTAGACAACTCTCCAAGTTGCTCTTCGATGTGTAAGCCCTTCCTTCTCTTAGTACTGGATAAGACCGTCAGCTCTACTAACAGTGCTTAATCGAATAGATAAGATCACCTTTCGTCCAGTGGAATCAATTCCTCATTCCAGCCACCCCACTCATTCAGTACAATCACCCTTTTCCAATTCCCTTATTCGATTGTTGTGGCGAAGAAGAGGGTTCACATGGCAGCCATGGATCTCCAAAGATAATAATATGTCCCATTATCAACTCTCGAACTAGTTCCATCCCGGATGAGCTCCCATCACCACAAGATGCTATTCTATAAGGAGGAGGAACCAGGCACATCAGAAGGGACAAAGAAAGTAGTGTCTTGTCAATATTCATTTTTCAAATCCCAAGCTGCGAAGGAGTTTCCGATTAACAAATAATCTCCAACTATGTTTTGTCACTCTGTTACGTGCTTCGGTTTGAGAGCGCGTAAATGGCTTGTTAATGGGAAAGAATCTTAGTTTAGAGACATTGGCAGTTTGAACATACTCATAACGTAAGTGGGCAATGAGAGGAACATTGCCTTGACAAAAAAAACCTCTCCGCCCATGCTGAAAACAACCATCTTTTCCATCTCTCGACTTTGTTCCATAATTTATCTTCGATCTTCGCAAATGCACTTCTTTTGTTTCTGCGAATCACTTGAGAGAACTCCAAATATTTGTAATTTACTAATCCTATGTGATCTTGTAGGATGGCTCCTTTGAACCATTTTGAATGGATTGCTTATGATGAAAACCATTATTCTTTTGAATGCAAGAAAAAAGTAGGATTAAACTAGTTGCACACACTTGTTGTTGTTGGGTTTATTAATTTGTCATGTGGGCCCACATATGTAATTAATTGTGTATAATGTTATCTTAAAGTTGATCTCCATTAAAGTGATCTAATGAAGAATTAAATTATTGGGTTTAGGGCATCTAAATAAAGTGTGGGTCGAATTATATGTGTAGAGACCGAATCCATTATGCTTGTATTTGACGATGAGCCAAATGCACATGAAATCTATAAATATGGTTATGGTCCCCAATTTATATGTAACTTCTCATTTTTTGTGTCATTCCATCAATACAAGAATACAAGAGAAAACATATTGAAGAGGAAGATTCAAAACTCACAATCAAGAACAAGGATTGAACAAATCAAGAATCAAGAAGAATGATTAGATTAATTAAATTGAAAAACAAGACAATTAAGATTATGGAGCAAGAAGTAACAATCAAGTTCGAGAACCAAAAGAGCCAATAATCAAGATTCAAGATTTGGAATCAAGATCCAATATTAAAGAATTATTCCCAAAGAATTAGGGCATGTTCTGCATTGTTAATTTTCTTGGTAATTTGACATAGAGGATCTGGGCAATTAAGCAATTAGATTTTTAGTTTTATAAAGTTTAATGTTTCATAAAGTTTCAACAAGTGTACATTAAGTTTTATAGTGTTGTCAAAATTTGTGTCATTAATTGTTTAAAATATTGTGAAAAATCAATTGTTGAAGAAATGCTACTTAACAAGAATGTCGAACCTAATGTACCCATAGATTGATTGAAAAAAGTAAGTTAGAATTTGAAGTTCAACATTGGGCTCGAGGGAGCGTAATGGGCCACAATAACGGGAAAAGTAGAGCCCAATATAATTTATCTACCTAAACTTTACATACATGGCAATTGGCATGTGTAGGAAATCGCGATTTAGATCATAGAATCGTGCCCAATTAGTTTGTGAATCAGTTATAACCACCTATCATTTTACGGAATTTATTTACCTAATTTTGTCGAAGTTCTCGTTTCAATTTCATAAATTGAACTCTAATCATTTTAATTGTTAATTATCAATTTTGTTGTGGATGCCAAAAAAATCTGTCAAACTTGGGCCTCACTGTCGTCCCCGTTCGATTATCCGCTTAATTGGCTATTCGGGTGGAGAACGAGAAGGGGAACTTAGCCCCGAGTTGGGTAAGGGCAACAAGGGTCTCATCCTTGTCCCCACCTCATTTAATTTTTAATTTAAGAATTCAGTACGTGTAATGAAAAACTCCACGAAATTGCGATCGTTCTAATAGAGGAATGCAATTAAGACTATCTAAAGAATATGACGAAACAATATAAGTCCAAATGTCCAATTGAATTATTTTTTCTGAGCAGTTATCTTTCTTTAAAATCTTTAAAAGCCTTAGAGTATCTCCAATAAACTCTCTATTTTTAAA